AGGGAAGGGCCATGCCCGGGGCGGGGGGGGCCCGGATGGACACACAGACAGAACGCACACCCCAAAGCTGGTGACTGATACGTATATTAGCACAGCAGATGAAACAGAGAAATGCCAACACAGCGACGTGACCTCACGGGACGCCAGTGGTTGGCTATACAGAGTTTTGTTGGTTCCCGGTGGTAGAGGCCGGAGTCTGATTGGTCCCCTCCACAGAGGAGCCCCTGAAAATCACCAGCAAAGGGGCCCCTCCGCGGCATAGGGACCGCGGTCACAAGATGGCGGCCCTAGGAGCTAACAAGCCCCCCCCTGTGTGATAGCATTTGGAGGTGACAGGTTCTCTTTGTTGACCCCCCGTCACCTCCGATACAGGAGTGCTAGCGCAGCTCTCCCCTCTCGCTGTGTACACGGAGCGGCGGGGGTTAGTTTTAACGCTGCCCCCCTGCCCCCCGCATCGGCGGCCAGTGAGGAGAGACTCTGCGGCGGAGCCCAGAGGACAGAACCAGAGGAGAGAGGTAAGTGCAGGGGGGAGGGGAGGAGGCTGCAGACTGTTTACATGTGAACTCGACGACATCGCCGAGTTCACATGTAAACGAACAATCGACTGCCTCACTCTACATTTAGCTCGGCTTGTACAAAGCAGGACTGAATGTGGAGAGGGCAACTTCCCCACAAGCACACCGCTGCCGCCCCCTGCGCCCCCCTGCGCCCTGCTGCCCCAAGGCCGGGCTTCGGTGGCCTTGTGGGGAATCGGGTCCTGTCTACAACTATGGCTACTTTTACTCGCACACAATATCCTTTCATATGATTTTGCTCACATTTTAGGCTTCCTGATTCTTTAAAATCTCTTCTCTCGCTGACCATTTATTACAACGCGGGACTGAAACCTGCTGAACCCAGACTGGAGTCCCCTTTGGGATGATAGTAAGTACCTCTCATTACCTGTTCCCTGAGGGGAAATCCGATGCTTCATTTAAATCAATGGCTATAGAGAGAATAGAAATCCTTCTCGTCTCTCCTGTTCATGTCATGGCTACACGAGTGACGGCTCCGCTTCCCACATTGTTATATCTCTTGTACATTTCTGGGGACTCGGAAGCATTCCAGTCCTGAAGGATGGTGTCAGGTGTAATTTGTCAGACGGAAACCTAAATCTCCTATTTCCTTGTATCTGCAGAAGTGAGATTTAAAGGAGAACTATGAGGTGAGTGCTTTTCACTCACCTCATAGTTCTAGCCGACCTGTGACAATGAGACTTCACATGTCGGCTCTGTAGATCGGGAGGTGAGCGAAGACATACTGGCGTTCGCTCACTTCTCGATCCTGTCACGGCTGGATTCCCCCCTCCCCGATCCGCCTGCGCTGACTGGCGGAACGGACGGGGGAATGTACAGCTGGCTCTGCCTCTAGATAGGTGGAGCCAGCTGTCAGTCACGCAGCTGGGCGGATCCCGGCACAATTGTCGGGATCCGCTTCAGCTGCAGCGTCTCAGTATACCGCGGGCTACAGCTCGCCGTATACTGAGCCTAGGGTGATGGGAGGACGCTAGTTTGTGTCCTCCCGTTACCCTAAGGAGAACTATGGGGAAAAGCGCCTTAACCCCATAGTTCTCCTTTAAAGCTGAACTCCGTGCAGATATAAAAGGCACACATGAATGCAGTTTTTGTCTACACCACTGCTGTGCTTATTAGGAGGTGTTCCTACCATCTGTGTGCTGAGTTTTTGAGATTATGTATTTAATTTATAATATAGAGAATGTAACATGAGGGTCTGAAGCACACGAAGGTGGACAGGAACACCCAAAACTCCCAGGTGGACAGGAACAGAGCTGAAAATTATGACAAGGAGATTTCACAGCTGAAGCATCCAACTTAGCCCACCAGGCTTCACCTACAACTAAAACATGACCTTAGGCTGGGTTCACACCGTTTCCGCGGGCTACTTGGCTTTATCCCAATGGAAACGTGCGACAAAAACGCCCCAAAGAAGCTCCTGTACTTCTTTGGGTGTAGGACGTTTTGTAGCGTTTTTGTAGGTCATACGGCCTGTAATACGCACAGGTGTGAACCATACCCATAGGAAATAATGGGATTTCGGTGTTTGAGCGTTTTGCAGAGCGTAGGAACGCGCTACAACACGCCCGGGTGTGAACCGGGCCTTAAGTAAACTCACTAAAACAATTAAGCATGCAGAGAGCAACAGGTTCAGGGTAATAGCCTAACGAGTCGGTCTGACAATAGAACTTGCATTCCAGTCGGGCTCGCTCTGAGCCTAATAAGAGTAAAAAAAATCTCTACTCTCAGGTAAGAATCTAGCTCTCTCCTTATTGATCTGCAGAGGTCTGTGTCGGAGCCGTGCCGCTGTTATTGGAATAATAAAGTCCAGAGTGAAAACACAGAGATGATCAGCACAGAACTGGCTGTACTGTCCAGATGACGGAGCCAGCGAGGTAAGTGCAGGGGGGGCCCCTCTGCGCCCTGCCGCCCCGAGGCCTCGGTGGCCTTGTGGGGAACCCGGGCCTGCTTCCACCTCTATCCAAAAGCTAAAGAGAATGTTGCAGGTGGAGTGACCCTTTAAGGAGCGCCGCAGCGGCGGATTCCACCAGGGCTGGGCGCTCTGCGGGACGGCAGCGTCATGCGGGGGGCTGTCACGGCGGCAGGGACGTCGCGCTCTCCGGGGCGCTGGAAGGGCGGCTGTGGGTGGAGGAGCTTCGCGAGTCCCTAAAGAGAGGAGAACCCATTTACTAGTCACCACACACAGGCTGGGGGAGCGGATGAGGACCGTGCCGGGCTCCTTAGAACACACAGCGTGCCTTGTAAAGTGAGTGTCATGGAAACAGATACAAAGTGTCAGATTCTGAACACATGGAATGTGACGGCCGATCATTGGCCGATCGTTGGCTGATCGTTGGCCGATCGTTGGAGGATCATTGGCCGATCGTTGGAGGATCGTTGGCCGATCGTTGGCTGATCATTGGCCGATCGTTAGCTGATCATTGGCCGATCGTTGGAGGATCATTGGCCGATCGTTGGAGGATCATTGGCCGATCGTTGGAGGATCATTGGCTTGTTTGGCCGCTCGTTGGAGGATCGTTGGACGATCGTTGGAGGATCATTGGCCGATCGTTGGCTGATCATTGGCCGATCGTTAGCTGATCATTGGCCAATCGTTGGCTGATCATTGGCCGATCGTTGGCTGATCATTGGCCGATCGTTGGCTGAGCTTACCTTGAAGCTGCCGCACCTCCTGGGATCCCAACCCATAATGCATCTCATCATCGTCCAATGAGGACCAGGCGCTCAGGGTGGCCTCAGTGATGGCAAACTGCTCGGCGACCCCTGAAAGAGGAAACAGTAATAGTCAGATCACAAGGTGCCGGCCGG